TCAATGAAATATACCTACTTGGGCCAGTGAAGCAACGTCCTCCACAACTAGACTGAAGAACAAAAGGACAGCAACTTGTTTGTTTGTGTCCCCTCCCCCAATTCCCCAATAAAATCTTAAAAAAAAAAAAAAAGAAGCTGAGACAACAGGTGATCAGCAATTACAGAAAAGAAAGAATGCCCACACTATACTCCATTTCCACCTCCCAGCTCTAGGAAAAGATGCTGTCAATTAAAGAAATTACATCAATTAAAGAAATGACACCTTCCTTTACTTAAAGGATATTAACACATTCTGGACTCTTTCCACGCAGACCCTTCCTGATAGGTTCAAGTAAATTCAATGTGTAATGCTCGACAAATGCCACAGTTAACTATAGATTGCCCTGCTCAACATTCAAAAGTATACTGCCTCAGAGACTTCTCTTTCATGCCATGCTAGAGAAGAGGAACTGGATTTACCCTCATACTTTAAACTGAAAAAATAGGCAAAATTATATGAAATAACAGTTTTCAGACTTGAGACATCAAACTGTGCAGGGCAGTGACCACTGAGAGGGGGGAAACAAATGAAGTGTGCTTTATAATGACCCCAATCACTGTGTAGAGAGAACTGTCAGGTCAGAGCATGGGAGGGGAAACCCAGAAAGGCCCAGCGGCTGAGTTACAGAGGAAGAGCTGAGGCAAGGGCAGCCAGAGGCCACGGCTGAGAGCCACGCAGAGAGGAAAGCTGTGTGTCTCTGAGAAACTGACATACCTCACTTATTCTCAGTTTACTCTCCTGTAAAAATAGTGGTAACAGTCCCTCCCCACAGGATTGAGTTGTGATGAGGAAGAAGATTATGTATCCAAGCACTTACAATAGTGCTTATATCTGGTATAGTGCTAAAGAAAAGGTAGCTATTGTTCCATTTTATTTCTTATGAGCCATTTGGGAAAACAACTACTCTGCTGATTAGTGGAGTTTATCAGAATTAAGTCCTATGATACAAAAATAAAAGTATGCCACCTTAGGAATGTGGTCATTTCTAAGAGAGGAAATATTTTATGAGCTAATAAAAGTGAAAATGTAAGCCACTATTTCTGGAGCATTTACTATGTGCCCAGTACAATGCTCAGGGCTTTAGAACTACTCTAAGCCTCTGATTATGGCGATAGCATCAATACGCATACCACCAAATTTAGATCCCATTCCTCATCTACATTTTGGAAAAGCGTGTCATGGTGTATGGGTAGAGGTCTACTGGTTTCCAGATCTAATGCCCTACCTTGAGCATTTTCTCATCAAAAATTGGAGTCATGGCGTAAGGCATGATGTAATTCTGGAGAGATTTAGAAGACAGCATGACTTTGCCTTCCATTAGTTGTTTTGCCAGTTTTTTCAAGGCTCTTGCTCGCCTGTGGATCTATGAGTAAGATAAAATATGAATGAGTTACTGAGTAATCTCACCTAGGACCAGCTCCATTTCAGTTATCATGTTCCTTTTCCATGAAAAGATTAAGGACTGAAATACAGTCCATATGTTACATGAGCAAACACCTGTGCCTTGATTTGCTTCCAGAAACATAATCCATAGCACTTGTTTAACAATGGATCCGAAAGCACTGAAACTTCTTTAAAAATGGCTGAGAAAGGTGACACTGTTATTGTGGTTGGTGATAACCACCAAGGAAATCAGACGCGACGAAATGATCATCTCCTATGCAAATTTGACTAATATCACGAAGACCAAGGAACGAGAAGTTCAAAACCTTTTGGAAAATTAAAATACATCTTTTTAAACAAGACAGAACTGCTTGAAATGCTTTTTTTATAGGCAGGGGAAAAAAAAAAAAAAAAAGCAGAGCTGTCTTCTACCTGAATGTGCTTCATATTCTCAAAGAAGTCCATTTCTGGATCATGGAAGTCAGTGAGCTGTNGGCTGCTCAGCTCGGGCTGGCCTCGAACCGCTGTTGCTCAGAGCTCAAACTCTTGAGCGAGCTCTTAACCAACTGAGCCATTCGGCCGGCCCATTTATGTGCACTTCTAAGTTTAGTGCCTTAATAAACTAAATTATGCAATTTGAGAATAACCTTCTATAAATTGTAAAAATAATAGGCATAAGAAAGTTTTTGCAAAAGAGCAACCAGAAAAAAATATAGCCAAGTTTTTACTGATGTGGGTTGAGACTGTTCTGAAATATATAAAAACCATAATAAAATTTGTATCAAGTGTTTGACATTGAGGGTGCACAGGAAACACATACAAGTGCCTCATATAAGATGGTTATTTACTAATATGTAAAATGGCCAAGTCAGTATTTTATGCAAGGTTGGCAAACTTCTTCTGTAGAGGGACAGATATTAAGTATTTTTGGCTTTTGGTCTCTGTTAAAGCTACTCAACTCTGCTGTGGTGATGCAAAAGCAGAATTAGACCACATGTAAATGAACGAGTGTAACTGTGTTCCAACAAAAGTTATTTACAAAAACAGGTTGCAGGCCAGGTTCACAGTTTGCCTACCCATATTTTATATGGAGAGGGAAGGGCTCTGGCTTCAGGAGAATCCACTCCTAAATGTTATCCCTGTTAACAGGGAGAATATAATTTTGAACAAAAGAGAAGTTGCCAAGAATGAAAAAAGGGAAGCAGACTCTAATTTTTAATCACCTGTTTTGGAAATGAGAGTCATCTTAATATCTACTTTGGAGATAGAAAAACATACCTACCATATGGAAATCATAATAAAGAAGGAACATCATTGCCTAGCTGCAATCATGTTGAACTTGAAGATGACGAGACAAAAAAAAGGAGGTGAATTGTGAAATGTTGGGATAAAAGGAAATCCAAAAGCTGAAGTCAATCGATAACAGTTAGGAGCCTCAGTCTGACAGGACCCCACAAACACCCCAGTTCACGCAGACCTGCTGGGCCCCAAACAGAATAATTACCGCAGATGCCAGGCATTTATGTAGTCGGGGTAGGATATCCCCGGTTATGGTTCCTTGGATATTTTTTATTGTTCTCTCCAATTCTTCCTTACTCTGAGGAAGGGAAGGGATGGGCTTGACGATACACTCGTTTTCATCAGCTGCTGTTCCTGCACAATCTGCTGGCTCAGGATTTCCTAGGTCTTCATTGTTGTCGGACACACTCTTACATCTGGTTTCCTTCTCTTCCTCCTCCACGTGCTCTAGCTCCATGGCTTCATGCTCTGGCAGCTCAGTCTCGTCTACTGTGCCTGCTTAGTAAACAACACAAGCCACTCTTAAATCAAATAAGGAAGCAACACAGTTAAGCAGTCTTTTCTACCAACGTCCAAGAATAAATATCTAGTCACCAACGAGGGGTAGGCAAGATAAAGGCTACGGAAACCCTAGTAAATGAGAGGGCTATGGGTTTTTGCTTTCTCAGTTTAAAGTCTAATGAGGAACAGAGACAAGTAAACTGACAATTATAAAAAAGTGTAAATGTTGGGAACACGTTGGGAGGCCAGTGGGGGAGGAGAATGGTAACCAAAAGGAAGCTTCTTTGAAGGTTGAAGGTTTCCAAAAGCAAAAACGTACATTCATGAGCATGAAAATCATGAAGGCAGCCAACAGTTCTTATGCAGAAATGTCCCTTACCATAGGGTTGTTTATTACAGAAAATTAGTCAGCACAGACTGTGCGGTGAATCCAGCCTTGGCTCTGCTAACCAGCCATGTGACCACAGTCAATTAACCCTAGTGGGCTCTGGGTTCTTCAGCAGTAAAATGGAGATGGCACCTACCTTGCAAAGCTATTGTGAGTATTAAATCAGATGAAGTCTATCAAGAATCTAAAACATGTTTCTGACACTTTACTGACTTTCAAAAAATGGTAGCTACTAGACTTTGTTTTGTTTACTGGCTGTGTAGCTTTGGGAAAGTTACTTTGTATTTCTGAAACTTAATTTTTCTTATAAAAAATATGGGGTAACTAATAACTAAGATTCTTATGAGGACAAATGAGATACTGTTTATAAAAAGCCCAGCTCATAGTAGGTGCTCAATAAATGTTTTAAACTTCAGCTATATCTAATAGTTAAGCAAATTAAGTATTTTAATTTTTTAATGTTTCCGTTTATGCATAATTGCAAAATGCAAATTCAGCTGGCTGAAGATAAAACTATTAAGGAGCTTTAGTACATTGTTTAAAACACCAGTGGTTCCTACACATTCAAACCAGTCTTTTCTATTCATTAGTGTGGTTCTAGAATGATTTTACCATGAATCGAAGCATTAGAAAATTTTGAGGAGGAACACTGGCAGAGTGCAAGCTAGGGCCAGAATATTTCAACATCTTTAGCCAAAACAATTAGGATAAATACCTCGGCCTATTTGAGTCTTCATTCTTTTCCTTATTTTTCTGTGCTGGCTAGAACTTCTAGTTCAATGGTCTATGTAATTACCAGTAGTAGGTATCATACTTTGCCTCATTTTGGTTTTAAAGCAGACTTTTTATCCTTTACTATTGACTATGATGTTGCATTTTTAAAAGGCTTCTTTTAAGAGTTTAAAGAAATTTCTATTTATTCCTTTGGTAATTGCTTTTATCATGGATACTGAATTTAATCAAATGTTTCCCCTGTGTCTATTTAGATGGTCACATGTTTTTATGCAAATGTGTTAAATTCCATTAACCAATTCTACCAACCTCATGAGTTTTGGGGCTTCCTCTTTCTCAATCCCCTGAAATAGCTGGTGTTAAGGTTGAAAGTTATCCATTCCTTGAAAAGTTTGTAGAACTTGCATATAAAACAGTCTGAGGCTGGCGATTTCATTAGGAGGAGGTTTTTAACTATAGATTCAATTTCTTTAGTGGTTAGAAATCCATCCAGATTTTCTACTTCTTCTAAAGTCAGTTTTTGAATTTTATTTTTCTTAGATTTTGTACATTTCAGCCAAGTATTCAAATTTATAAGTACAAAGATCATAATATTAGTTTACCTTTATCATTTCATTTTTTAAAAAACCCAATATTATTTATTATGCCTTGTTTTCACTGATCAGTCTTGTCAGAGGTTTGTCAATTTATAACCTTTTCAAATATCTATTTTTAGTTTGATCCTTTCTTATATTATCGACTTTATATTTCATTAATCGTTACTCTACTTTTTCATCTTATACTTTCTTTGCATTCATTGCCTAATGTTCTTTCTAAACATGAAGGCAATAAAACTGAATTTCTATGTAAATAAATAAACAGCTCAGATTTTTCGACCTAAATAATTTAGATCGGCCTTCTCTATTGTTAAATAAGTTTTCATAAGACTACTCAAACCATTTATTGTAATTTTTAATTTCCTCCTGACTTATTCATTGGTTACTGCTACAGAGCAAACAAAAAAAAGGAAGTAAGTTGAATTTTGCCATCTTTAATTCATTATAAATTATCCAAAAACAGGGAAATCTTGTTTAAGAAAGTTTTTTTAAAAACTTACTTTCTTCATTCTGAATTTTTCTCATTTGTTCTTCAAGAGTTTTGTGGTCAAAGTGGAATGCTTCTAACACTGTTACTAGCAAACTGTTAAAAAAAATATATACAGAAATATTCATTTGATTAACAGTATCATTTAATGATTAAAAGGAGAGAGAATTTAAAGACATATAACATTAAAATTATTTTTACCAGTTTTAGGTATTTTTGAAGTTAACTAATATTAGCATAATTTCATTAATACAATGTAAAAATACACTGAGGCTAGGGAGAGGCTATTTCAGGAAGTAATTAAAAATTCAAATTGTAAAAATAAAACTATAAGAAGTTTGACCATACCTGACACCCAACTTTTGGTTGATCTGTCCTGTCTGTAAGACATGAATGAAATGTTTCAAGTAATATACATATGCTGACCAAGAGAGATGTCTGCAAATCGCTCCAATAATCTCGGTGGCAGCAATGGTTATATTTTCATACTGTAAAACAAATCAAGAACATCAAAAAAGCAAGCATTTACTAATAAAATACAGAGCTAATGTGGTACATTAAAAAGCTGAGACAGGGCCAGCTGAGTGGCACGTTGGTTAAGAGCTGGCTTGGGATGCCAGCTCTGAGCAGCAGGGCCCTGGTTCGGATCCCACATGAGGGCCAGTGACACTGTACCCTCTACA